CTGGACAATCCGAGCGTCGATTAGGGAGACATTACCGTAATCCGATATGCCGAGGAACAGCGTCGTCCGATCGGTTTCGACGAGCACGCTCCGAAAACCGTTTGAGAGAGATCGCAGAAAGAATTTCTTGCTCGGCAAATATTTTATTCAATCCGATTTTGCATGAGAAATCAAAGGCCGCCGTTCGATAAAACAACGTTCCGAACACCACCGTATCCGATCGGTGAACCGTCCGGGTCGGACAACGGCCCTTAAACCACCATTATTATCGCCATTATCGTCGAGCCCTTTCACCGAGTTTCGAACAACCGTCCACGTATATGTATCTGCAATAAACTGATCGGTTGCAGTCGGGACCCCAGCGACACCAATACTCCGACACCGAGGAACAAAAAGAAAGACAGATTTAATTTATCGGCGCGAGCCATAAATTCGCGCCGTTTATTCGCTGTTTATTCCGTGGAGAAGAAGAAAAAATTGTCGAATCTCGTTCCACGATCTCTCTCTCTCTCTCTCTCTCTCTCTCAGCGTTCGCTCTTCACTGAAAATCATCTCCCATATTATTCTTTCGCCATTTGTTTCTCCGTCGAACGCGTTCTGCGGTCGCCGCGACCGTTCTTCGAGCGTTAGCCAGAGAGCAGCCTCGAAAACTTTCCGACGCGCCTTTCGGTCGCTTCCGGTCGACTGGAACATTTTTCAGGCGCTCGGTAATTTTCTTCGGTGCCCGTTCATTCACTCGAAACTTTCTGATTCGCAGATTTCAAGATCCGTCCACCGAGTATTCGCGAAACGGCGGCCCGCCGGGATCGGAACGTCGGCGGACAGCGTCGAGGACACCGTCGAGGACAGCGAGATCGAAGGCTCCTGGACTGGCATCGATCTGGCCTCGCTCCGAAAAATTTACGTTCCACTCGATAACGATGCACAGAAGAGAGAGAGAGTGAGAGAGAGAGAGAGAGAGAGAGAGAGAGAGATCCCTGTTCCCGGCTCGGACCAGGAAAGGCGCCGGCGAGCCGGCCCATTAAATCTGGATGCTTTCATTTTACCGAGCGTAGAGAAGAGGCAAGGTGTATCCGAAGACGACAAGACCGGGCTCCGGAAGGTGGAGGAGACGAGGAAGATCGGAAGGAGGCGTAACCTCCTGTCTCCTCCTCCCTTACCCGAAGCTGTAACCGACCCACTTAATGCCAGCCGCGTCTACGACGGAGAGATTCGCTAAGAAAGAAGCTCCAACGAGCGTGACTAATGCGGGGTTATACATATACGTTTCTCTGGATAGATACAAAAAAGAAAGAAGAAAAGAGAAGAAAGGAAAAGAGAAAACGCGGACGAAGGAGGAAGACGGGGAGGAAAAAGGAGAACGGAGCAGCAGGTAAAAGGGAGCAGCGCGGCTCGCAGCTACGCGCGGACCTCCTCTCGTCGAGGTTGCAAACGGGAAACGTATTCAGAGGGCAGGCGAGAGCGACGGAGAACCCAACCCGTTGTGTATCCGCTAACAAATACGACGTATCCCTCTTCGCCGCCGCCGTTGCCGCCACTTCGAAAGAAAAACTCGGTACCTAGGAGGCGGCAGAACCAGAAAAACTTTGATAGAGAACGGATGGAGACGAGGGGGGCAAACGGACGTAGAGAATGGAAAGGCAGGGGGGACCTCGGCAGAGACCTGGCGGCTGGCGAACGGATTGATTTCGAAGGCTAGATTGCTGCCAGATGCTATCTAGGTGCTATACCTAGGTGCTAGATGCTTGATACAATATCTGTAGGGACGGACGTTGCTCTAGCTGCTGCTGCTGCTGCTGCTGCTGCTGCTGCTAGAATCTTGAAATCAATGAACAACGTGTCTCGTTTTGTTTCGCGTATGTTTCTATGTAGAGTAAATTCTACCTAATCGACGATCAGAAATTGTGCACAGAAATTGACAACTTGGGAAAGGAGATACGATTATTTTATGTCATATACATATGTATTTTATCATATTTTATTATACTTTATTTATCATATTGTATTATATTTTATTATATTTTGTATATATATTATCATATTTTATTATATTTGATTCGTTATACTTTATTATATTATGTATATTTATTATCTTATTTTATTGTATTCTATTTATCATGTTGTATTATATTTTATTCTATCATGTATATATATTAACATATTGCATTATATTTCATTTATTATATTTTATTATATTATGTGTATATATCGTATATTATCATATTTTATTGTATTTTATTTATCATATTGTATTATATTATGTATATATATATATATTATATTATATATTTTATATATTTTATTACCGTATTTTTATGTACATCACATAGTTATTATATATATATATATATTATTGTTATTATTTATTTTATATTATGTATGTCGTCGACAACTATAAAAGCGAGCTGGAAGGCTCGAATAATCGTATCTCCTCCCCCGAAATTGTCCGTTTTCTGTGCAGAATCTGAGCGTCGATCAGAGAGAATTTCCAGTATCTGGGCTAGTGGCTAGATGCTACCTAAATGCTGGACGGATGCTAGGCAGTTGCTGGATAGTTGCTAAACTATCTGCGAGCGACATCGGACGTTATTCTACCTGCTGATAGAATCTCGAGATCAGAGTGGACACCATGCTTCGTTTGTTTCCGCGGATTTCTGCACTCGGGTGGTGGCTAGAAGCTAGACAGGTTCTAGATGCTCGCTGCAATTATGTAGCATCGCGCACGTAATTATGAGGTGACCTACATCGCGCATTCTACACACACAATGGCAATTTATAAATATGATGTAATAATATAATGTGTAACGAATAAAGCTAGAACGATTATAATTGGTAACTGTGATTCGATAATTAGTCATTTTCTATCAAAGCGCCTATCCTGTAATACTTGGCAGAAAATCGTGTTACTTTTTAGCATGTATAACTCAATAGCAAGCCCGACGCGAAAATTGTTCGATCGTCCAACATATTATTGACTCGTACTACATGCATAAATTCCGACGTTACCAAGTTCTGTCGAGTAGAATAAGTCGTTGCAAAGACAGGTGTCGAACATTTTTGGGGGAAAGCTAGTATAACTCAACGACGGATCGGACGTCGCAAAATTAGAAATTCCAGAAATCTAGGGAAAGTAGTAAAAGTCGATGATTATTCGGACAATTGCCCGAAGAAGAAGTGGTACAAGTTAAAATTGAACGAGGCATCGAAAAATTATGTAAACGATTTCTGAGATCGAGAAGCGTAGGATCGTAGAGCAGGGATAGAAATAGGTCTCGTAGAATGAACGGTAACAAATTAAATTTGCAATCGAAATAGTTATTTCACCGCATACGTTGTACAATAAACTGTATCGTAGGCGTGGATTATACAAAATTATGACTAGAACGAAGCGATAAAGTAAATAATTATTTAACGTAAAATGCCTGCTGGAGACAAAATGTTCATATAAAACAATTAATTTTGTTATGTCACAGGCATAATATGTGCACTTTTATGATTGCAAAATGAAGAATAGGGCTCTAACAATGTAATTCCATTCGTTTCCCGCATATTTGAATCGTAATTAATTAATTATAAACGATCTTCCGTTTTGTGTTCAAATATCGAAAAATCGTGCAAATGATTCGTGCCGTTTTTTCCATAAGGACCCTCGCAAATTCCGGCACGAATTTTCTGCTGCTCCTAAACAGCCGAATAGCGCCACTTCGATGCAGCGGCAAAACGCTCAAACTGTTGCTCCATTCACCAAATTACCGACAGGTCGGTAAATGCCTTGAAGTTCACTGACAGCGCCATCTGTCGGCAAATAGTAAGACTTCTTGGTCGGTATTTGGCGAATAGTTTGAGCGTTTTGCCGCTGCATTCGAGTGGCGCTATTCGGCTGTTTAGGAGCAGCAGAAAATTCGTGCCGGAATTTACATGACTTCTTGTGCGAAATGCGGCACGAATCATTCGTTCGAAAATTCAATATTTAACATGAAACTGAAAATAATTTATAATTAATTAAACTAATGCAAACCCTAATCCAAAACTACCATTCGATGTTGCCAAAGATCCATTCTATATTTATCAATTGCAAATATTTACAAATTTGTCCTGGTTAATGAGTTATTTATAATTTCTTCGGGGGCTACTTCGAAAAGAGGCTATATCGTGTCGTATATGCATATTCTAAAAATTCGGCTAAACGTAGGAGTGGAGATGGGTGGGTGCGAGTTGGATGTAAGTAGGGATATTCTCCCTATTTTTATTCTTACGATTTTTCCACAAAATCGGATGCAAATTTCGCAAGAATCATTTATGACGTAAGAGGAAGCTCTAATTAATAATTAATTCTATGACATCACAAATATACAACATGAGAGAAATTCAGAAGAGGTCTCTAGCACTTTGTCTATAATAATTGCTTGCATACACGAGTCAGAATTAATTAATTACAAATTATTTTCAGTTTTATGTTCACTGTTGAATTTTGGAACAAATGATTCGTGCCGTTTCTTCCATAAGGGCCCATGCAAATTCCGGCATGAATTTTCTGCTGCTCCTAAACAGCCGAATAGCGCCACTCCGATGCAGCGGCAAAACGCTCAAACTGTTAGCCAAATTACCGACAGATCGGTAAATGCCTTGAAGTTGACTGCCAGCGCCATCTATCGGTAAATAGTAAGACTTCTTGATCGGTATTTGGCGAACAGTTTGAGCGTTTTGCCGCTGCATTGGAGTGGCGCTATTCGGCTATTTAGGAGCAGCAGAAAATTCGTGCCGGAATTTGCATAGACCCTTATGGAAGAAGCGGCACGAATCATTTCTGTTCAAATGAAAGATAACATTTCATTCCTTGAAAATTAACTGTTTTTTATTCTACGAAGCAAATCAGTGGCATAAACAAATGCAAATACAATTCTCTCCCTTTTTTTTTGTTTCAAGCCATTTTTCCTGCTCCACCACTGAGCAGGCGGAGCCGTAAAACGACGAGAACGAAAATAAGGTGCTAAAGCTGACGCCATATTGCGACGCTACGGAGGAAACGCTGGGTCTCTGATTCCGTTCGCATCATGCAGAATCAGAAACGTGGACGTGGATACGTGTCGGCTCTCTCTATAGAACAGAAACGAGTAATTGTGCAAAAATTAGATTGCGGAATTTCTGTATCCAGAATAGCGTACGAGTACAATATCCATCCGAGTACCGTACGAAAAATCCGAAAAAAAGGGCTCCCGGAATATCAGGGTCCTGATGTACAGAAACGAAAGAGGGTCCGTAGGCCAATGTACGAGGATTTGGATGCGCAATTGTACTCGTGGTACCGAGACACGAGAACGCTCGGAATCCCAATTACGAACAGCTTATTGCAAAAGAAAGCGCTTCAGATCAGCAAAGACACTAGCTGTTCGTCTACGTTCAAAGCAAGCCACGGTTGGCTGGAGAAATTTAAGATTCGGCACAACATACGTCTGCTAAGCGATTTCAATGAAGAAGAAAGCACCGATGCGTCGTCTGTGGAGAAATTCATCGAAGAATTTCACAAAAAGATTGAAGAAGAAAAACTGCAATGGAATAACATTTATAATATGAACGGATCGAAACTTGGATGGAAGTTCCTTCCCACGAAAATATTGGCAGAATCCGCGAGATTGAGAAGCGAAGGGAAAAAAACGCAGAACGAAGTGGTCAATGTAGGTTTATGTTCAAATGCGACTGGGTTGCACAAGTTAAAGCCACTGGTCATAAGTAAACTTAAGAATCCAAGAGTACTGAAAAGCTTCAAAGATGATATGCCGGTAGTGTTTAAATTCCATAAGAGATGTTGGATGGATCAAACGGTATTTCTAGACTGGTATGAGAATGATTTTAAACCAGCTGTGAAACATTATCAATCCCAGAACGGTCTACAGGAAAAAGTTATTTTACTATTGGATAATTATCGGGGGATCAAATTAATGGAAGAATGCCATCGTGACAAACAATTTGAGATCGTGATTTTGCCTCTCAATACTACAGCGTTACTTCAACCTATGGATCAAGGAATAATTGCTAAAATGAAAAAATCATTCTGCCTCAAAATGTTGCTGAAAATGACAGAGTATAATGGTGGATTGAGTGAATTTTACAGTAACTATTCCATAAAAGATTATGTAGAAATAATAGGCGAGTCGTGGGCAGAAATAAATGCAAGAATTCTTAGGAACTCTTGGAACAATATAACAAAATCATCCGAAGAAATAACAATGGAAGAGCATCTAGACGAAGAGGACGAGCAAATAAATGAGTTAGTTGCCATGCTTACAGGCCACGATGAATGCCTAGACAATGATACAACAGTTATAACGGAAGCTGAAGTACAGTTTTCGGAGGTCGAAGCTATAGATTGTCAAGAAGTGTATTCAGAAGAACAAGAACAAATACAACAAGATGCAATAGTACAAGAAGAGGAAGAGGAGGAAGAAGAGCAAATCGGAGAGGCTGAAGAAGAAAATAAATGGAGCGATGATCTAGAGATAGCTAAAGCTTTCGAAGTATTATATAGGCATACAGAGGGGAAACCAAAATATGTAAGGACTTTATTGATGAGTGTAAAACAGGCATTCGTGGAAGAAGAGACCCCAAGATATCGTCGGAATATTTATATATAGAATGTGTTCGGTAAGTCTTCTTTATACTTTCAATGTATCTTGAAATTATTCTAATTTTTATATATTTGTTCCAGGATATAAAGAAGGGAAATGATACATGATCGCAAACAATGTCGGAAGAAGGTTTTCACTTAATAATCATTATCCTTGATTCGATGAATTCTCTACATTGTTTATTCATTTATTTTATATTACAGATGTTGTCTCTAAATAAATCAAAATAAGGAATTTATATCAGGCACAAGGATAATAAAAGCAAAATTTTATTTTGGAAGTCCCCTTTTGTAATGTTTTATGTAAGTCCGTTACAACAGTTTGAATAGTATTAGAAATTTAAATCTTGTAATAAATCAGTTTCACCATTATTAAATTATGATCTAATTTATTATTTAGTACATGCAGCTTGGAGCCAAGATACAAGAAGCCTGGTTTCATTTATACATGGATCTTATCAAAGATGCATACATTTGTATTGATTCAAATAAAAAATTAAAATAAAATCATTTTGTTCGACTATTAAATTTTGAATAATTGCATTCATGAATTCATAGGATTATATAATTATTCAATTATGGAATAATTGCTTTC